CCGGGTTTGGCTGCAATATTTCATCAAATACCTGTAAAGATTGCCGTCCTACACCCGACGGATCAATTACATGCCAGTGTAGAGAATTTGACGGGGAAGCAATTTTGGCAGACCCCGTAAAACGATTACCTCTAACTATTGGCCGACACACTTTTCTGACTGAAGACGACCAAGTATACGTCGAACAGTCATATACTCCTATACAGATCAATCTACAAATGAATAATTTCCAGTTAGTGACAGAAATAACCGAGTCCACTTGTCAGATAACAATAGATGACGTTAGTGGCTGTTATCGCTGTTTAACAGGAGTTCAAATCAAATATTCGTGCTCGACCGATTTTGGGTCGTCACTTGCCGACATCAGATGTGACGATGGTATTCATTTTATTGCTCGATGTTCCTTTAATGGAACTGAAGGAGCAGCACATTTTGCCTACAATAGATCAAAAATTGACACAGAGTGTCAAGTCAAGTGCCCAGGAGGAAATAGTCAATTACACATCAAAGGACAGCTCTTATTTATTCCAATACAGTGGAGGCAAGAGCGAATTGTCCAATCAAGTAAAGGTGAAAAATCCTCAGCATGGAATTTTAATCCATTAAGATTTCACCCGATTTCGCTTATAATGACAAGTTTACCGCTTCCATCTCCATTATATTTATTACTAATATCCACTTTAGTAATAATTGCAATTTATAGTATTCTGCGTTTTAAATTCGCAATTTGGAGAAAAATGAGCTCTCTGCTCATCACAAGTTTATTAATAAACAATTTTGCTGTCGAGGGGGAAGGGGCTTTGCGCCCATTATTAATTTTTGGCAATCATAGCCTTCCACCCCCATCCATTCACATTTATTCACAAATCGCGACCTACCCACCCTCAAAACAAAAAGAGAAAATTTGGAATGGGCACGAGCAAGCCAAACAGATGGCAAGCCAACTTAAAATGTTTGCCACTCACCCATTCGTTAAAAATAAATTGTCGAGCCATTCTTTGATTCAACTAACTTTTGGCTCTTTTCGTCTTTTGTTTATAAGAAAAAATTTATTTTCTTATACAAAAGAATGTGCAAAAACACTTAACTTAGTTTTGCACACCACCAAAAGCCATCAACACATTTCCATCTCTAAACTTTTGTCAAAGAAAGAAAAAATAAATTTTTTCTCTCCTTTTACAAAAGAGGGCACAGAAATAGCCAATCCACATATGTGTAGAAAAAATAGCGCTCACTGCTTTAATAGCAAAGCGTACAAAAAAGAAGAGTTTGGGCCAATGTTCACAACTCCGCCCAACTCAAGTTGTTTATCTACTTCCCCCAGAAAATGTTTTTTCATTCTCATTTCAACAAAAATATTTTTTAATAATTTAAATAAATTTAGGCTAATTTATTTTGCGATAATGCCGCTAGGCGATTTCTTTGCTGTTCCTCCTCGCAAACCAGGGGAAACCAGAGACGAATATCTGCAAGCTTGCCTTGCTAAAGGATATAATCCCACTCTTCCGGAGAAAGGTCAGAGTATGGCTGATTATATTCCGAAAGAGCTGGGACTGATATTTTTCGACTCCTTGTGTGGAAATGAAGCACGCCGTAGGGGAGAAGGCCTGCTTACGTTTTTTTGGGAAAAACTCAGATGCCATGGACTTCCTTTGCCTGATGAGGAACCATGTTTAAGCCGGGCAGCCAGGGAGGAGCTTGTTGAGCCAAATTTAACCGTGGCTCAATTTTTTCGAAATAAAGGAAGGGCCTTGACACACCCGGACCTCCCCTGCATTATCATTAAGGGGGGAATCCGTGGCTCGTCAAGAAAGAGCCGAAGACATGCTAGAGTTGTTGGACACCAGTGCTGGAAGGTGGGAGAGTCCCACAAGAGCTTCTTTCCGTTGGAGCAAATCATTTACGATCCGACTGAACCGGATCCAAGTTTTGGAGGAAATGCGGCCACGGGTTTCACCCCGCCAAGCTCACCGCCACCAGAATTACCACCAGGAGAAGGCCCATCAACTGAGGAGGAACACGCAAAAGAAAAAGAAAACAATGAGCTTAAAATTAGCTTTCCGCGAGGAGGACCCCCGATTCGCGCGCTCTCAATTTTGCTTTTTATCGCGGTTTTTACCGCTTCCGTGAATGAAAATCTCGCTTGTTGCATTAATTCACCCGATATTTCTCTCTCTCATTTTAATTATTTCTTGCCTATAGAAATGAAAAGAAATTCTTCTAACAACGGCAACAACAAAGCGGAAAAACGAGCAAAGGAAAATCTCTACCTAGAAGTTTTCGGGCCACCAACTTCAGCTGCTCAGCAGCAAGAAATGGAACAACATTTAAAAGAAATGAATGTTGAACAACTTTTAGAAATTGGAAATAAACCAGTTATGGCGGTGGCACCAGAAGAAATGGACAACTCTACCACCAGCACTTTATTAAAAGCAACATCGGAAATTATTAAAAATAAAGAAATTAATAAAATTAATTCTGCCTCTCAAGATGGAAAACAAATGGTAGAGAAACAACAAGAAAAGAAAGAATTGCCTGCGGCAACAGCTAAAGAAAATGCATTGGTTGTTTCTGTAGGTGAGGGAAAAATTGAATTGGGGGAGAGTAATAAAGGGAACATTTTAATGCCAGATCTCAAGGCTAAATTGGAGAAAGATCGCTTAAAACAAGAGAGGCAGAACCAGAAAAATCAAGCCCTCGTTGAAGCGTTCTTCTCTTTTGCGCAGAAGCTGACTGCTCAACAAACAGTGGTCAATGCGCCAGCAGCCACGGGGGAGTTTGTGAAGGGACCGCCACTCACAAGGAAGCGGTCAACAAAATTGCGGTAACCACTCCCGCTCAAGCACAGTGGAAATGTTCTTCTTCATCTGGGCGCTCTAATGGTGGAGAAAGAGAAAAGAATTTAGGTGAGCAAGATCGGGTTGAGTCCATTGACCGTTATTCCCGTTCAGGTTCTGGGCGTTCACATTGGGGAGTTTCTGATCAACATACAGAAACTTTGCGAAAGGTCCGAACTACCACGGGTCAACTTTGCGGTCAGATTTCTGATGCAATTCACTCTGTGGAATCTGGGAGAGCCAAGTTGACGAATGAGGAAGAACATGACTTACTGGCTATCGATGGGGCTGCGAAGAGATTGATGAAATCGATACACATTGCATTTGGACATACACGTCGTTCTCGCTAAACATTTTTTTTGTTTTTTGCCGGGGGGAGTGTGCCCAAAAGGGCATAAGCCCTACACTATTTTCCCATTCCTCTCGCATTGTTATATTTACGTACTATTTTTATTTACCGCCCACAATTTATTTTGTTTAACCACGCCTACTTTTGGCTGTCAAGTTAGCGCTCGGCTGTCCCTAAAATCACTTCTTTCAATCCTTCTTTCAATTTCCAACTTCTCTCAAAATCTTATAATTTTCTAATTCCTTTAAACCCAATCAATTAAACCAACTTTTCTCCCTTCAACTGGGAGCAGGAGAGCGGAGCACTAACTTAAATTATTTGTTCGCATTTTCACCACATATTTTAATCACCAATTTATTCACACCGCGGATCCCGAGCTGTTATCGGACCGCTAAATTTATTTGTTAATTAAATAAATCTTTTCTTCTTTGGTGTGTGTATTTTTGGGGATTTTGGGTAGGCTGTCGTCGTCATCATCGCTTATAAGTTTAAGAGAACTTTTGAGTTCTCTGTCCTCCCTTTATAAGCGTCCGTCCCTCCCATAGCCGGAGGCCGTACAAATTGTGTGTCCACCCGAAAGGGCTTTTGGGCACAATAAATATTTAATTGGAAAATTAACGACCGGAAGTTGAAAAAATTAAAAAAATATTGAAATAAAAATAGATTCAAGTTAGTGATATACATAATTTGCTGGATTAAAACAATTTTTGTGAAAATATTAGAAAATTAGATTAATTTTAAAAGGTGAATTTAAATCTTAACTAGAGAAAAGCAGAGCCGGGCTATAGTTATTTCTCCTTCTGATAATACAAAACGTTATTAGCCCCACCTCAACGATAGCCTCAGGAATTAAATATATGCTTTGCACTAGCAAAAGACAAATATAATTTGTTTTAATTATTAAAGATGGTTCGGTTTAACCAAAACTCGGACATTTTCAATCTGAAATCCCAATTCATGACTCGAAAAATTTCCTAAATCCTAAACAAAACCCCGCCATTCTCCACAAATTTTTTTCATTAAAAGAATAAATCTAGCTTCTTTGATTTTAAAAATTCTCAGAAATTTTTGTTATGAAGAAGGAAAAATTTTGTGTTGATAAGTTTGTGAGATATGTATGTTGTCGACACCAATCTTGACCAATTACATATTTCTTCAATAAATTAATCAAGGATAGCCGAACCCGAAGCTATACCCAGACAAATCCCGGTCAACGACCCGCCTTGATCCCGAAGGGTCGGGTGCTACCCAAGACTAACCATCAATTTTGAAAATGCATTGAGTTACATATATCCTACAAATATTTAAAATGTTCAATTGTCTAAATCGTTATTTTAAAAATATATTAATCCTTTCGTAATTCATCAAAAATATTCATATTACTCACATTCTTGATTACTCATTAAATTATGAAACAATTAAAAATAAAATTTCATCAAAAATTTTAAGCCACCTCATCAATTTATTTTATAAATAAATATAAAAATAAATAATTTCAACATCTGTTTAAACAATTAAAAATAATATGTATATGGATATTCATCGTAAAATAAAATAAAAGGAAAATTAATAAATAGGCATATTGAATTATTATTGTTCCTTAAAATAAATATTTATTATATTTTGCCTAAAAATTTTTTAAAATCCTCCTCTCAGCTCTCCACTAAAAATTATTTTGTCCTCAAAAATAATTAAATAATGACTCTATTAATTTTAATTATTTTTTTATTTAATTTTTATTTGCTTTCGCTTGAACAGCAACAACAAAGACAAGTTACTAACAAATATGTTTATGTCTGTGGACAATATCCAAACAAATATCTCTCCTATGCACGTAATTAAAAATATATTTATTTTGGAAAAATTAATAAAATCTGTTAAATTAACTTTACCATTCAAGTTTTTCTTATTTCTTTAATGAAAACAGTTTGTAGAACAATTTTTTGAACTATTAGAACTAGCAGACTGACTTTATTAATTATTATTAGAGCCCTTGATTCGATTTCGACTGAATTTTTCTATTTAATCGAATTGATAATTGACCTACCACTAAGATCGGCTCCAATTAGTATTATTCCTTTGGATTTTTGATTTAACAAACTTGAGTTGTTCCCTGGCATGTTTTAGAAATGACTTTTAATTTTGGAAACAATTCATATATTTTTATTTCCAATTTATAAAGCCTGTCCCGAGGATGGACAGAAACAACAACAAATGTGTTCACAACCAGGCTGGATACCAATTAATATAAAATGTAGACAGGATTCTGACTGCCAACAAATTCAAAATGTTGGTATGTTGCATATTTTAATTTGAAAAAATTTTTAAATTAATTTAGCCAAATGTGAAAGAGGTGAATGTTGTGCACCCCCTTCTTCTGGTAGTGGGGGTACAAATAAGGTAGAAGAGATTATACTAAAATAATTTTCTCTAAAATAGTTTTCCTATCAAACTCTAAAATTCATATGTGAAAAATTAATTAAAAATTTATTTAAATATCAGTTAAAATTTCAAAAATTTTTTTGATGCCTTTGCGTTTGAAATTCTCTTACCTAATTTTTAAAAAATTATCCAAAAGCCTTGAGCAGTGATTTCTTGGTTTCAAAAATCGAACGGTCGCGTATTTCCGATTCTCTTATTTTTCATAAAATTTTGCGTATTCAACGCTTCCTGTTCCCGAAACCGAGAAAAAATTGGACCTCGGCTTCGTTTTATAAGAAAGCGTAATTTTTCTTTATAAAAATTTTATTTAAAGGGAAACGATGTTCCTTATATTAAATGGGAAATGTGTGAAAATGGAGGTTATTTTACTGGAAAAAAATGTAGAGACACAAATGAATGTCTTAATAATCAACCAAATATACAACAAATTTGTTTAAATAATGAATGTTGTACTACTGGAGGAATTGGTGGTGGGGGAGGAGGAAATGTGAATCCAGCAGAGGACAAGTACTTTTAAAATTTTGGGTAATTTTCAATTTCGTCCCCCCCCCCCTTTTTTCTTACTCAAATTATGAAAAAATGGTCAGACTTTTCTTTTTTCCTCAATTACTTGCCTAAGCGATAAGCCCACAAAAAAGAAAGATAAAAGATTTGTTTTGTTGTTAAGTGAGTGCCTTCGAAAAAGGTGCCGCATAAATAACCTTTTTCTGCACGGCATCTTTTTGTTGTACAGCGCCAGCTGCCATAACGTCTATCTCTAATTTGATGAATGGTAGTTCGGCCCCCACATTTATAAGTTCGTTTTCCGTGAAGTAGTCCAAGCTCTACAAGCCATAAATCGAAATCTTTGTCACTCAAACACAATTTTTCATGTAGATGGGAATCTTTGAAATTTTTTAGTTTCTCCATTTTTAAAAATGTGACGCTTTTCTTTCTCAGTTCTTATATTTATACAAACAAATTTAAAAAAGGTAATCCTTTTTGACTGATTGTATGCCATGGGGAAGAAGAGTGTAATTGAGGAAAAAAGAAAAGTCTGACCATTTTTTCATAATTTGAGTAAGTAAAAAGGAGGGGGGGGGGGAACGAAATTGAAAATTACCAAATTTTGATTTGAACATGTAAAATTAAAAGAGAAAGTGACTAGCAAAACTTTCCTGTAGTTGACTTTTGTTTAAGAATTACCGTATTTCCTAAAACAGTACTCCCGGGAGTACTATTTTTCAACCCTCCTCCAAAGGGGAGTACTATTTAAGGGGGGAGTACTAATTTAGGGGGGAGTACTATTTCTCAACCATCCTCCATGATTTTTCATAGGAAAATTTATTTCAAAATTTACAAAAATATTTTAATTTATTTCAATTTATCTCTAAATAAATTCGATTAGAGTTCGCTATTTGAAAAATACCGGATCCGGACCCTGATTTTCAAAAAAATCTTAATAAAATTCTAAAAAAATATCCGAATTAGTATAAAATTGAGCAAATTGCGAGACAATTAGACACAAGTGACTTAAAATACGGGTTATTAAGGGAAATAAAGAAAGATATCAGTGGAAATCAAGAAATTATCAGTGGGATAAAGTTGGTATCGTTGCTATCGTGGCGTTTGATGGTAATAAAATAATTATCATTTAATTTTTGGGATAGTGGATATATCTTTGTGTCTAAGATTTATCAGGGGTCAACTAATCTCATGTGTCTAGGGATTACCTAATCTCTGTCTAGTGATTTATCAGCATTAATCACCGATATCCTCCACATCCCTTCTGTACTTTAACACCAAATATTGGCGGGTTAGCATCATCAGATTCATATAGAAGAGGACCAATCTTCTGGTATTCAGGATTTATTGTGCGTGAGTCGAAAAACACGACAATACATCCCTTACGCCAAGTAAATTCCAAAACAAAAACAGTTTTAAGGAACTAAAAAGAAGTGGAGAATTAGCTTGGATTAAATTAACGTTAATTACTAATTCTTCATTTGTACGAACATTTCCAGCAAAATCCAAATAGCCACGAGGTCCTTTCTGTTTAAATATTTTTATTAGTCATTAGAGTTAGATACGCCTGAAAAATTTTCTCTGTGGGTGGTCAAATAGAGAAGAAAAAGAATAAAAGGTTTTTGACCGCCACAGGGATAAATTAACCGGCCATGTCCAACTCTATTGACCAGCTTATTATTACTAGATTAATCTATTTGAGGGACTTTATCTTGAAGAAAGGGTAGGGAATTATTCGAGGGCAAGTATTCGAGGTAAAGGAAGGAGAAGGTCTGAGATTATCGCCTGAGCTGTGGCTGGGCAGAAAGAGAAAGAGTTGTATTGTGGCACAGTCGGTTGTGCTTCTGACTTGGATCATTCCACAATGCGCCTATTCCATATCCTATCCAATGAATTTTTCCACAGCAGGAAGGTAATTCTCTTCAGTTAAAAATCCTTAACAACATCCAAATAAACCTCAAACTCATATAATTCATAATAAAATCTCTTAGCGTCATTATCACACAAAAGACGAACAACTGCTTTACTTCTACCATTTAACAAATCATTTTTCTCCTCAACCTCTGCAATTAATGTGGGTACTGTTGCTTTAGTCATATCAATAACATTATCAACATAACCAATAACTACAAGACATTCTGACGAATTTTCAATAAATGGTGTCTAAAAATATTTTTTTGAATTTAACTTTTTCCGCTAAAGAATTACAAGGCCTGAAAAGCAGGACTCAGAATTTTTCCAAATTTGTAAAGCAGTCGTTAAACTTTTATTTTCAAAAGCATATTTTCCAACAAAGCAATGATCGTTCCTTTATAACAAATTATTTTTATTCTCCTTTCTAAAAAATCTATACAGACCTTTTTCCAATAGTATTTTGGTAAATACAGCTAACATTATAGACAATAAATGGCGTTGACAGAGTTCGAAATTTAGGCATGAAAGGGGTTAGATGGAAGGAACAGAGACGGGCACGGCGTTCGGCAAAGCTCTAAAAATAAAAAAGATAAATTTCGATTCTGATAAAAGCTTTGAAATTGCCAATTAGAGATGAATCTGATGATCCATCGAACTTCTAAATTGTCTTGAAAAACACGATTAAGAAATCGAGATCTAAGTCGGGAACAAAAAATGTTTAGACATAATTGTCAAATTAGACATGCTTTAGAAAAGATAATGGTCTAAGAAGAATAAATACTGATTATTTTTTGAATAAAATAATTATTAGCGCGGCACAACCGGTTATTTAACCGTTACCCTCCGTTTTTGGTTAATCCAATTTTAAAAACACGTTTGATCAAATAGGTGTGCGGAGATATCGGGACAGATATATCGGGATTGGTGTGACAAAAATCATTTCTTGCGAGTCTATGTTTGTTTTAAAACATAAAAACTCTATTCCTACAATGCATACTATCCAAGACCCAGTGGCCGTAGGTCCCGAAATCAGTAAAGTAACTGTTCGTACATTGAACTATCCCGATATGTCCGTCCCGATATGTCCGCGTGCCGTCAACTATTCAGATTAATAATTAGACAGCAAATTCAACTTCTAAAAAATCAAATTTACTTCAGATGGTCTGATATGTATACGAATATGTAGACCACCATTATTTTGACTTTCCGATTCATTTTTAACATTCTGGGAATTATTTCCAGATAATATTTCATCATTATTTTTTAATTCCATCAATTTATCTTTTGTATTATTTTCCTCTTCATCATTTACTTCATAATCGGTTTCATTCGAAGAATTGGTGGAATTTACAGTTAATCCCAAAGACGTAACGTCATCCTTCCACGGGTCAATAACATCACTTTCGCTCAGATTATTTCTGAAATATTTTTGAGATTTTTAAACATTAACTCCTATTTTAAGACAAACTTAAGCACAAACTCAGCCATCTTTTTATATTCATCATGACGAGATTGGACTTGGCCAGCGTCGATTTTTTCGTTATCCCTTTAAAAAAAGAAAATTTTCACTTAAATCTCGGCCTAATAAAAAATTTTTTTCAAAATTTTAGATTAATTTTTTAACAAGTTAGGCTGTATTAGAAAACCGTACAAGAAAAAGACTTAGAAAAAATTTTTTTAAATTTAAATTTAGACATTTTTCCAAGAAAAGTAGCCATAGTTTTTTGAACAAATTCGGCTTCTTTCGAAATCTGAGGAGGCAAAACTTCTTTCAATTTATTCATAGAATTATCATTATTTCCTTTTTTAACCTTTGCTGTTTCGTTTATCCTTTAAGAAAATTTAAAAAATTAAAATTGTTTTGTTAAAATAATTTTTAAATTTTATTATAAATTACAATTTTATAAATTCGCTAAATAGAAAATTTATGAGAAATACCCTTTTTTCTCATTTTTATCATTTTGAATTTCCTCGGGTGTTGATGGCTCAGTTGTTGTTTCCGGTGTTTTGGTCGTCTCAGTCACTGTTGTCAAAACAAAAGAAGTTTCAGAAGTCCCGGCTAACAGTTTTTCATTTCGCAATTGTTGTGCCTGTTGTAAACGTTTCGAATATTCAGTTGACGCCAGAGCTGGGCCAATAACCCAGCAATGGGAAGAATTAATAAACATTAACAATAACAACAATAATCCCGATTGAATTATCATTTTTAATTAAAAAATACTCTTTAATTTTAATTAAAATTACTTAAGAATAATAATTCTATAATACATGCAACAATGTTTTTCATTTCACAAATGTTGTGATTGTACTAACTTTAAACTCCCCGTACAGTAATCTTTTTATAGGTACCACTCCCCTAAATAAATTTCTTCACGGTCATTATAGATTAGTCTTTTTCTATACTAGTTACGATGATGTGAATCTTTCGATAAACTTGGATTTGGAAACGATAGGTTTTCCGTCTTAAAATGCAGTAAATACTACATAGTTTAACACTATACAGGTTCTTTTCATTAGGATCCTAAAACTCTGGGCAAAATATTTTGCCTTCCTAACAAATTCTAGCTTAAAAGCGGAATGGATACTTTAGTATTTCTCAGTAATAAATACTTAATTAATTAACATTTATTATAAAGTTAATTAATTTATTAAAAATAATTAATGGCATACCGATAAACAACTAATAAAAATTTTAAATGATTTTACTAAACTGTTAATAAGCTAAATAAATTAACTAATGATTCATTTAACTAAAAAATAAATATTTTCCGTTTTTTATTTTTCAAATATTTTCAACACAGAATTATTTAAAAAAAAATTAATGAATTATTCAAATTAAAAATAAATATTTAATTGGAAAATTAACGACCGGAAGTTGAAAAAATTAAAAAAATATTGAAATAAAAATAGATTCAAGTTAGTGATATACATAATTTGCTGGATTAAAACAATTTTTGTGAAAATATTAGAAAATTAGATTAATTTTAAAAGGTGAATTTAAATCTTAACTAGAGAAAAGCAGAGCCGGGCTATAGTTATTTCTCCTTCTGATAATACAAAACGTTATTAGCCCCACCTCAACGATAGCCTCAGGAATTAAATATATGCTTTGCACTAGCAAAAGACAAATATAATTTGTTTTAATTATTAAAGATGGTTCGGTTTAACCAAAACTCGGACATTTTCAATCTGAAATCCCAATTCATGACTCGAAAAATTTCCTAAATCCTAAACAAAACCCCGCCATTCTCCACAAATTTTTTTCATTAAAAGAATAAATCTAGCTTCTTTGATTTTAAAAATTCTCAGAAATTTTTGTTATGAAGAAGGAAAAATTTTGTGTTGATAAGTTTGTGAGATATGTATGTTGTCGACACCAATCTTGACCAATTACATATTTCTTCAATAAATTAATCAAGGATAGCCGAACCCGAAGCTATACCCAGACAAATCCCGGTCAACGACCCGCCTTGATCCCGAAGGGTCGGGTGCTACCCAAGACTAACCATCAATTTTGAAAATGCATTGAGTTACATATATCCTACAAATATTTAAAATGTTCAATTGTCTAAATCGTTATTTTAAAAATATATTAATCCTTTCGTAATTCATCAAAAATATTCATATTACTCACATTCTTGATTACTCATTAAATTATGAAACAATTAAAAATAAAATTTCATCAAAAATTTTAAGCCACCTCATCAATTTATTTTATAAATAAATATAAAAATAAATAATTTCAACATCTGTTTAAACAATTAAAAATAATATGTATATGGATATTCATCGTAAAATAAAATAAAAGGAAAATTAATAAATAGGCATATTGAATTATTATTGTTCCTTAAAATAAATATTTATTATATTTTGCCTAAAAATTTTTTAAAATCCTCCTCTCAGCTCTCCACTAAAAATTATTTTGTCCTCAAAAATAATTAAATAATGACTCTATTAATTTTAATTATTTTTTTATTTAATTTTTATTTGCTTTCGCTTGAACAGCAACAACAAAGACAAGTTACTAACAAATATGTTTATGTTTGTGGACAATATCCAAACAAATATCTCTCCTATGCACGTAATTAAAAATATTTTCTCAAAATTAATAAAATCTGTTAAATTATCTTTATCATTCAAATTTTACAATTTTTTTCTAATAAAAACATTTTGTAGAACAATTTTTTGAACAAAGAAACTAGAAAAAATTAACTCTATTAATTATTATTAGAGCCGTTGATTCGATTTCGACTGAATTTTTCGATTAATTGACCGCGACCTCTAAGATCGGCTCTAATTAGTATTATGTATTCCTTTTGGATTTATGGGTTTGACAAACCTAAGTTGTTCCCTGATATGTTTTGGAAATGACTGTTAATTTTGGGAACAATTTATAACCGATTTCTATTAGAAATATTTTTATTTCCAATTTATAAAGCCTGCCCCGAGGATGGACAGAAACAACAAATATGTTCACAACCAGGCTGGATACTAATGAATATAAAATGTAGACAAGATTCCGACTGTCAACAGATTCAAAATGTTGGTATGTTGAATATTTTACTTTTAAAAATTTTTTAAAATTAATTCAGCCAAATGTGACAGAGGTGAATGTTGTGCACCTCCTTCTTCTGGTAGCGGGGGTACAAATAAGGTAAAAGAGAGTTGTATAATAATTTTACTAAAATAGCCCCCGGGGAACTCGTCAGTGACAATCGGTCTGTGGCCAGATAAAACTTCAGTGGATAATCTCTAACTGAAGTATATCGAAGGATTATTGGATATAAAGGGTAATTTGAAGGGATTGAGAGGGATATCGAATAATTCTCTTAACAAAATTTTTAAAGTTTTCTATAATAAAAGGCTTGAGCAGTGATTTCTCGATTCCAAAAAATGAACGGTCTCGTATTTCCGTTCACATTTTTTATAAAATTTTGCCTCTTCATCACTTCCTGTTCCCGAAACCGAGAAAGCAATGGACCTAGGCTTCGTTTTATAAGCAAGACTAAATTCTCTTTATAAAAATTTTATTTAAAGGGAAACGACGTTCCTTATATTAAATGGGAAATGTGTGAAAATGGAGGGTATTTTACCGGCAGAAAATGTAGAGACACAAATGATTGTCTTAATAATCAACCAAATATACAACAAATTTGTTTGAATAATGAATGTTGTACTACTGGAGGAATTGGGGGTGGTGGGGGAGGGAATGTGAATCCAGCAGAGGACAAGTATATTTTAAATTTTGATTGAACATGTAAAATTAAAATAAGGAGAAAGTGATGAGCAAAACTCCCTTATGCGGCGGAACTTACAAAGAAAGGATTAAAGGGAAATAGACCTTAATTTTATAGAAATGTGTGAAAAAATCAAGCGGGAGAGGGAGATATTATTTCCTCAAAAATATCATTTTATTTTTCCTTCTTTGAGGGATGACTTTCGCTGTATTAAAAAGAGACTACCCTGGTTTCATAAAGCTAATCCTATCTTACTCATTCATACCTCCATTTTTTGATCCCAAAATGAATTTTTAACAAAAAGATGTTTGAGAAATGGAGGCCGTCGTCTTCGAGACAATGTTGGAGGTTGTATAAGGCATTCAGATTGTAATTCACTAGTTGGAAGACTTCCAGAACTCGCACAAATCGGAGATAACCAACAAATTTTGTGCCAACAAAAAAGTTGTTGTTTAATGCCCAGAACTTTGCCTATTGGCTTTACTGATTGGGCACAGGCATTTTTTCAAGCAAAGTCAAATTTTTTTCCTAATTTACTAGGCTTGCCCCCAAAGTGGCGGCCGTTTTATAGGCCTTTTTTGTGAAATGGATCATCATGATTGTCAAACAACAACAGACAAAATTAGTCGAATTCCGCAACGAGCAATTTGCGAGTTGCGGAGGTTGGTTAACAAAATTTGATTATTAGCCAATTCTAACGCTTATTAGGTATTGTTGTGCACCAAGTGACAAAACAATAGATCGTCAAAGAAGAAACAATCTTGGGTGTAACATGGGCGACTTCCCTACTGGCAGTCGATGTGACCCCCAACGACCAAAATGCTTCGCGGGAGAATATTGTGGCAATCAAGCAATTTGCTGCTTAAGGAGCAGTTACGACAGAAGACGCCCTCCAAGTCCATACTCTTCAGATGACTATCCAGATTATTCTGTCGGAAATCAAAGACCGCCTGGTAGAATAAATAAAAATATTTTTAATCATTTCTTAAGCTTTTTGCTATAATGGTCAACAATCTATAGTTCATTGTACTTCTAGTGAAGATTGTAAACAATTAACTCAGGCATGTGTTAATGGCCTTTGCTGTACTCGAACAGGAGATGAGTGGAAAAGTAAGAAGTTTTGGAGATATTTTAAGAGGGTTAATTCGAAAGATTCCCTTGAAAATGAGTATATTTAGTTCAACTCATACTTGTTGTGAGAAGTTGAAAATTGAGACGTCGAGAGACGTTGAGAGACGACGACGACGACCGGAGACATCGATGACAACACTTTTGACTTCGAAGTCACTTTAATGACGTCACTTTTGACGAAGTCACTTTTGACGACGAGACATTTGACGTCGACGGCAGGTAAGACGAGGCGTCAATTTTGACGACATCATTTTGACGAAGACGTTTCACGACACTTTTGACGACAACGTCACTTTTGCCTACAAATTAGAAGACGACTCCACATTTATGACGACAACTTACTTCTGTCGACAATTCACTTTTAATGACGAAGACATCTTTGACGACCTGTCACTTTCGACTACGTCACCTTGATGTGATCCCAATCACTCTGAACAAACCACACGTCCAAATTTCTCGAGCTTAATATTTTGTTTTCCATGTAGGGTCAAGATCCCAGCAGAATCTAAAATTCCAAAAACTTGGAAAAACTTCGAGCTCAAATTTCCAGAGCCCATATTTCCGGAAAAAAATTTAAATTCAAATTTAATTGTAGATTCTTGTGGGGGTGCAATGGCTGTTTCAATTTGTTTTGAGGATGGTTCCTGCCCGGATAGACTAGTTCGTACTTCCTCAGATTATTGTTGTGAATGTCCATATGGACAGGCTGCAGGAAAATGTGCTCATGTTAATAAAATTTTAAGAAAAATTTCAAAAAAATAAAATTAAAGGGGTGTCCTCCCAACTATTCATGTGATTATGGTGGAGAATATTGTTGCCCTAAATGTCCACAGGGGGATAGACCTTATGGCTCTTGCTTTAACGGTGAATGTGCTACAGGATATATTTGCTCTGCAGGAAATATTTGTTGTAACAGAAAATAATTGTAAAATTTTTAGCTAGTTTTTTTGTTAGTCTGATTTTAGTGTTTTTAATTGTTGAATTTTCCAAAATTATTTTTGATTAATTTTTGATTACTCTTTTTTTGTTGAATATACATATGTATGTACATATTTCACAAAAAGCGCCCGAAAATAAATTTTAAAATAAAGCGAAAATGAATTGTCAGAAATCGAAATTTCGACCCACCGTACTTCTTACAAATTTGTCATAAAATAAGGTTCTCGTTTCTAATTTCGCAGCAGGGCCGAGTAAATTTTCGGGAAAGAAAATGATTAATCTTAATTAACCCTATATTTTTGAGTCTAAAAATCTGCCAAAATCAAAGTTATTATTCCAAATCTTTTATTTTCATTAAATAATATGTAATAAAAATTTTTTATTGTGTAAAATTTAATAAACGAAATAATTATTATTCTGAATAGCTTCCACTAGATTGAGGGCTAGCTGCTGCTGGTGGCCTAAAATATTATTAAAAAATTGACATTAAACAAATGAGCTTTATTAGAATTTTACTTTTCACTTGCAGCCTCCGCTGCAACATAAGGTTTAACAGAGGGTGAAGCTGCTGCTGGTTGTTCACCTTCATATTTACTGCCAGGAACTGTTGTTTCGACTTTCTAAAACAACAATTATTAAGATAACACAAAAAGGATTTACAGAGATTTGTTCCATGGGAGCATAGTCAGTCAATGCATGGTGTGACCCACCAGTTCTTCCACCCGGTGAAACCTCGCCTGTTCTTGGAGGGCATGGGCAATATTCGGCTTAAAATAAGGAGAGATACTAAATTTTAATAGAATTCAGTTTACCATCAGATCCGGGAACACCTTGCCCTCCTGCTCGACCAGGCTGTCCTGGTGGGCCAGGAACTCCAGGTCCTCCTGCTCGGCCAGGTTGACCAGCTGGACCAGGAGTGCCTGCGGGAGGAGATCTGTGAAAACAATTTTTGTAATTCTTTACTTCCAGATTGCATCTTTAAACATACGCTCCAGGCGATCCAAGTTGACCAGGAGAGCCTGGTGGTCCAGCAGGTCCTTTATGTCCAGGCTTTCCTTGTCCACGCATTCCAGGTTTTCCGGGCGCTCCAGCTTCGCCAGGTTGACCGGGACCTCCAGCCGGTCCTTGATCCCCTGCTGGGCCTGGTGGGCCAAAGCCGCCATTTTGTCCCATTCTTCCAGGCATTCCAGGCTGAATTGTATGTAAAATTATTCTATTTTTAAATTCTAATCGTCCATTTTTAATTAAAATTATCCAAAAATTTAACCATTCCTGAAGAGCCAGGAGGCCCCATAGTTCCAACAGGACCAGGCAGGCCAGGTGCACCAGCTGGGCACTTAACACAGCCATTTTGTGTAGGATGAGAGGCTTCAACTGGCACACTATTAATTCCTGGCTTTCCATCTTGACCATTTACCCCATCCTCCCCAGGAATACCAGGCTGGCCTTTTTGACCTTGAGGGCCTGCCGGACAATTATTTGGTTGTTTTCCACAATTACATTGACCTTAATAAATTTTTAAAGTCAATTTATTCATCAGAAGCTTGCCTTTTTGTTCAGACGGTTTTTGTGGTTGTTGCTCATATTGGCGCCGAAATCTCTGTTTAAAATCATAATTATTATGATCGTTTGACTCCTCAATTAATTTATTCCAAGCATCATTAGCAATTCCATTAAAGTCTTCCAAATCATTATGAATTTCAGAATAAAACGAATTTAAATCATTAAATAAAGAGATTATGACAAAAATTGAAGTAATTGTTATTATGGCACACAATGAAATTGTTGAGGAGATGAACACCTTTTCTGAACCGTTTTTAGAAATTATAGACATTGAAGTAAAATATTTATGATTTTCTTAATTCTAAGAAAATTTTAAAAATTAAATTAACTATGTAGATTTAGAAAATTAATTTTCTAATAAAAATATGACTTTCGAGAAAAAAATATTTATACAAGAAAGAGCATCAAAGATTCAGAAAAATCTAATAAAAGTTGCCTGAAAGACTAAAACCAGCTGCCCTTCTATTTTAGTTATAACCAGCTGCTTTTTTTAGAATTAAATATGCCAGTTTTTACTATTAATTTTTATTCAATATATAGAATATAACAATGAAAAATGAACCTAAAATAAATCAATCTTAGTAGAAATTTCCTATATAGTAATTATATCAATTTAGTATTAGATTTGCCAATCTAAATACGTTTAAGTTAAAATTACGTACATTCGAAAATTAAGCACTACCACTTCTGTATTTTTTTGTACTTCATGACCCGACCCAAAAAATGTCGAGAATTCTCGACACTGAAATTCCCTAACTTTCAGAAAAAGATTCACAAACCGGAAATCGAGTTAGCTTGATCTATTATTCTACTTTAATTAATTAAATGCTATCATAATTTATTAAATATAGGTTGATATTAAGTAAATATATCTTTATTTTCACAATAAAAAGAATTAAAAAAGATGTCGTTTTGGTTCTTTTATATCCTTTATTTTCTGCGAGATGAAAGCTGAAAATAAAAATGGATATAAAATGTTGTAAGGAATTTGTGTCATTTTTTATATATTTTTGTGTGTACTTTTACATTTCTCGCGAAGATTAATTAACTTTTTGATCACTAAAAATAATTATAAAAAATTTTTTTGTTATTTATAGAGTAGAATTATAATAATAAACTTGTTTATTTTGAAGATAAATTGCTTAAAATTATTAAAGATTTTTGTAAATTAATTTAGGTATATACAGGGTGGGGCAAAAGTTCGGCGACAAATTCTATTCTGTCCTTTCTTAAAATTTACTTTATATTTTGCTTTTTGTTTAGATTTTCCATATTCTATGATTCGTGCTCTACACATTTTATCTTGGAAATTTTTTCCTATCTCATAAAGTAAAAATTTTACAGAATGTTAAAGAATCGTGCTTTTGTTATTTCTTTGTATACAGGGTGGTTAAAATTATTAAAGATTTTTGTAAATTAATTTAGGTATATATGTATATTAGAGACTAGAATTTGGCGGGATCAGGATTTCGGTCGGTATCGGGCGGGATTATTCCGGGTTTTTGAATCATTATTCCAAAATCCCGATTTTACTTCGGGATCCCAATCCAGCCCAACTCTATTAGAGACTGGATTGATACGAGCTTTCTGGAGTTTTCGAGATTTCCAAAAGCGAAATTGATAATTTTTGATTTACTTTATTCTATACCCCGTTGGCTCCTTAAACAAAAATTTTGTAAATTTCTATGCATTATAGATATTAAAATTTCAGTTATAGAGAAGGGAAAGGTGATGTAAATATGATGGAATTAAGTTAAATTTTAGAAAAAATTTTGCAAATTTTTAGACAGATAAAACCGAGATTTGGTCAACATTTAAATTATAATTTACACTTATTCTTAGAAATTAAAAAAATTTAGTAAAAAAGTGTATTTGCGTGTAATAAATTAAAGTAATATGTATGTTTAAATAAACCTTTAAAGTGTGTGAACCAGGGAATGAGCCGTCCAGGGCGTGACCGGTCAATCCGTCAGTGGACATTCCGGCAGTGGAAAATCCGTTAGTGGACAATCCGTCAGTGGTCGGACAATCGGTCAGTGGACAATCCGTCAGTGAGCAAATTCATAATTCCTACCCATACCCAAACTATCGCCGCAAAAATTTTCATTTAATCATGTGGGGATTATAAGTGATATCGAAAATATGGAGATTAATGAGGAAATCGGCAGAATTAGCTGGATTAAAAGCAATCCAATGGGAAATGTGGTTGAATTACGCGAATGTCGATGGCTTTAGAAGGATACCGGGGATTTGGATGGATTAGATTTACGTGATTAACGTGTGGCATTATTGTGAGACTGGGTAAATATTGTGTGATCATGGAACTCGATGAATAAGAGAGATTGTTTTAGATGGATATCATGGAACAACCCTCTTAACCCGCCTATATCCGTTGATATCCCCTTTTATCCACGAAATCCATCTTAATCCCCCAATCTATTAACCACCATAATACGACAAATCTTTTATACGCCTTAATCCCACAATATCTTTGAAGTCCCCGATGACTTCCAAATCCACAGATATGCTTTTAATCCAGATAAATCTGCCAATTTCCTCATTAATCTCCATATTTTCGTTATCTCTTATAATCTCTCACATAAAAAAAATGAAAATTTTTGGCAGCGGTATTTTGGGTATGGGTGGGAATTACGAATTTGTTCACTGACGGATTATCCACTGACCGATTGTCCGACCAATGACGCATTGTCCACTGACGGATTTTCCACTGCCGGATTGTCTACTGACGGATTGTCCGGGAGCCGTCCAGGGTATGAGCCGCCGTTAAGTTTTTTTGTTGGCTCGTTCCCTGGTGTGAATACGAATTTTGTTAAAATTATTATGCGAATTTTTAAAGTACAATTTTAAAGTCACGCAATATTTATTTAATTTTTTTCTATTTAAAACGTTGAAAAAATTAAATTTATGTACCTTAAAATTTAGTTCCAACATAATTATTCCATCAAAATGGACAATAAAAGTTTCTATAGCGTTAGTTTTTAATTATTATTTTTATAAAAAATCCCAAATTAATTTAAGCCATTTTATTCAAAATACAATGAAGCAGGATTCGTTCCTGAACTATTTTTTATTGCTTTAACTACTACACTTTTTTCTTTCTTTATAATACTATCAAATTTTAGCCTTTGCTATATTTTTATTAAATATAGGTAAATATTTTTAAATTTTTGCCTTGCGTTTTACGTAATTTTTGACGAAAATAACGCAAAAAATGCAAAAATATATCTAAACTGAGGTCAAGAAAAGAAGATATTTGGCTTCTTAATCTACTGAAATTTTCAAAATTTCATCTGCGGTGTTAGAAGGAGGAGGCCATTATCCAAATATCAATATTAGGCTCTGTTCTGGAGCCCCTTAAGCTCAGTTCTGGAGCCCAAATTCTCAGGTATCCCTCCTTATT